ACTATTTCTGAAAAATAATAACTTTTTCAGATTATCAGTCAAGTGATAACTAAGATTTTAATTTTCTTTTAATAAAACAAACAAAAACCAAACAAACTTTCTGTCCTGATTTTATAGTCATAAAATATACAAAGCCTTTGCTGACACTACTGAAGGTTTTGTGCTACCCCAAAGGACACGGGAGCCACAGAAAGTGAGAGAAATATATTAGCTATAACTTTGTAGCCACTCTACCTTAACTGCTCAGCTTGTCAGTTTTATAAATAAAGCTACAGTTCCTTGAAATGCTTGAAACTCTTTTACAGAGGCTGAATATAGAGAGAGGTTCCTTGAAATTCTATTATAGAAGTTGAAGTCTCAGTTTCTCAAACCCTTTAAATCTACACATTGTCAAATCCTGCTGATGGCTTGTCTCTTTTCAAACTCTATATAGTTTGAAACATAAAGAACAAACATTTGGGCACATATTACAAAAATGTTTCCTCAGTTTCTTTAGGATATCACTGGTCTTATATGTCTGCAGACCAAGTCCTTACAGTTTGTATGTTCCTGTCACTAGGTGTAAAGCTTTGTTGTCATTGCTTGTGTCACAGGAGTAATTAAACATGTCCTTCTCCATCGCATTGCAGGGGTGGCAAAGTGGCTTTATTACCTCTCAAGCCCTAAATATGAATCACATTAAACATTTTTGTGTCCACACTTACAAAGCAACCTGACTTTCATTTCACTCTCAATCTACTCTCTTTGGGCTAGATTTGTCTCCTTTATGCAGAATTTATATTTGAAAACATAAAAAGAAATCCAAATACCAATACCAACCCAAGCCCCTCCATGTTACATTCTCAGTGCTTTCCCCAGAGAGATCATGGAGAAGAAAATGATCCTTCTCATGGCAAAAGCAGTGACTTAGAACATTCAGATACTATACTGATCCTACAGTATGTAGAACAAAATAGCTTATCATTCAGATTATGCTCTTGGACAAAGCCAGATAGCTTCAAGGACAAGGGAGTTACCCTAGATCAGTGCCATAAATGTTATAATATATGAAACAGCTGCAAGATAAATTCTTTCATACTACACATAGGTACAGTTTACTTTCAGCTGTCTCACTGTTGAAACATTATGTCTTACACAGATTTCTCTATTTGTAAAATACACTTAGAACTCTTAGTTGCATATGAATGAGTAACTCCTTACAGCTGCGGTGCATTGAAACCAAAAGAAATATCACAGATCTGTGGCAAAAGCTAGGGCATTGAACTCCAGAAATTCTTCATGTGAAACCTGCTTTAAAAATGAACTAAGTAAATGGAAAAAATATTACTAAAGAAACTAAAATAATGTCTATTATTTAAATGAATGGTGCTGTTAAGAGAACAAAGCATCTTCACTGATTCATAAGCAAGCTGCTCATGATCTTTTTTTATTTTTACACTTTTCACCTCTCTCATTTTTCCTTTTCTTTTTTGAATCATCTGAGAGAAATCTTCCAAAACCTCTTAAAGGAAATAGTCTACAGACACGAGACTTTGTGTTAATGAAGCTCCAGAATTATGAAACCAGAGGTCAGGAGCATGTCTTCCACAACATCTGGGCTGAATGAAATTAAAAGGGCTGCTTGATTTAGAGTAGAAGATGAGTAAGCAGGGGAAAGAAAAAACTCCAGTTGAAAAGTTTACTAGAAGCAGAAAACATTGACTACTGAGGAAATAGGTAAACTAATCTAGCTCCTGATGCCTCGACAGCCATATTAGTACTGACTGAAAAGCAGCTTATGACATTCTTTTTTGAAACCCTGAACCAAAATGCACCTACCCAATATCAAACTAAGCCAAATAAAGGAAAGTGGAGAACGACAGTGATATAGGCACCGTTTCTTTTCCAGTTGCTGACTGACAAAACTGCCATCCCTTAACAAGGTTTTATTTAGTTATTACAACCATCTCTCTGTAAATGACACTTAGGATTATTTAAGATTATGTTGTAATCCTTTTAATCCTCAGTGCTTTAAATTTCAGGCTAAACACCAAAGAGCAAACTAGCACTTAGCAGAAATATTTAAAGCATGTGACTTGAACATAAATCTTCTTTTATTCACCACTCTTTTATTCAATGGTGAAGACCTAGTGTATCACGTCATTCAGAGCAAACAGCACAGTACCTCACTGCAAACTGCTACGTTTCACCACATCATGTGGAGCTGCTTCTAGTTGTTTCTTTTCCTTGGTGTTAGCTATACCATCAATAAAATAAACGAAGGAAAACCAGAAGTCTATATTTTATAAGATGTGCATATTTTCAGTTACTATTGAGGAAAACCTGAAAAAAAGCCCACATAGTATGTTCATCAAGAACAGGAATAGATTGCATGCACAAATTGGATAGTGTGAGACACAGATCAGACATATCCTGTTAAACAGGGAGTAGCTCAATTTAAATGAGTAGAGTAACACTGCTGAAAACCTCATGATAGGGACCAGAAACCCAAATCTTCTTGCCTGAATATCATTTACTTGAAGTTACCTCTTTTTTTCTGCATTGATCATATTTCCAATTAGTTTTCTTTATGGTACTCCTATACTCCATCTTGTTACTGTCCATTAACTGTCATATGCTTAGACTTTAAATTCAAGGTTTCCTTCTTTTTCTTCAAACCAAAATCTCAAGTCATTTTCTATTTCTAATCTATAATTCATGAAATCAAATTGAGTACCCAGCCAAAATCACACTCAAAATTCTGTATCCACTAGTACAATACATTAACAGAAAGCAACCATTACTCTATTTGAATCAGAAAATAATATTTTATTATTCAGAAAGTAATGAAACAAAACCCCACCATCTATGTTCTGTTGCCATGCTTTAAAGATATAATGACACTTACTGCTGATAATTTCAAAGTTAGGCAGTCGATATATTTAATCAAATAGCAGTGCAATGCATCTATATTAAGGTCACCAAAAAAAAAAAAAAAAGCACCCATGTCCTTTTCATTTGAACAAATCTATGAATAAGTAAACATGTATTATCAATCTTATTCCCACCCACTAGAGATAAATAGATCATCAGAAATGTTTCCTGAAATATTCAGTATCCAGGTACAAACTGACCTCTCCGCTTTCAAACTTGCCTTGGATTGTCTCCAGACTATCTCATAAATCTTCACTCTATCTCCAGTCCCCTTCCCACTCTATCTGCTCATGTAGCACTAGTCTCATTCTGTCCTTTCCTCTCCCAAAATGTCACCACTACTGATGCCAAAGCCTTCTCCTCTTTCACTCTTACCATCTGGCATAATCTTCTTGTAGCTCTCTGTCTAAACAATGCTCCATCCCTTTTCAAAATGTGTCTTAACATATGTCCTTCCTCCCATGCTTTTACTTCTTAATGTCTCTCCCACTCACTTATTGGCTTGATGAAGACACGTTTTAATGGGTTCAAACAGTAGTGCATGAGTTTCCTTTCTCACATTATTCTGATTCAGTGAAGTTAGACCTCTCACTAACAGAAGTGAGAAGAAAATGCATTGCAAAGTCTTCACACAACCAGTTTGATAAATCAATAACAGAGCTTCATTTGTCTTTACACTGGAAATGTATTAGCTGCAACGAATCACCATGTATTTCCAAACAGAAATGTTGCTTACTGCAAATGAGAAATAAACCCTAGAAGCTCAGAAGACTTCTCAGTGTTCTCAGGGGGTTGAAAGAGTGAAAGCTAAGGTTATACTTACTCACATTCCAAGTGAAAAAGCTGAAGATTGACAGCAAAACCAAAATATTTATTCTAAAAATACCTAGGAAATTACAAAGCTCCAAGTGTTGTCTCAAGACAACCTGAAGGATGTGGGGGGTATAGAAGCATAAGTCTTACTGTCTTGAAGAAGCAGAATATTTCTAAATATTTCATGTGCCTTAGAAAGATGTCTAGAAAAATAAACCTTGAAAACAGTCTCTGTAACACCCAGTCGACCGAAAGAGGTTTCTTTTCAAGAAGGCACAGTCCCTGAGGGCAGTTTTTGTGTGCGGTGAGTTGGGGTTTTTTTAAACCCCAGACGCAGGTACAGTTGGTTCCTCCTGCATGCTTCATTGGTGGGGATGCCAAAGTACAATCTGGTAACTAACAGTATCTTGACCCTGACATGCTCCCTTCTGTATCTCTCCTCCCTTTATTGTTTGCATTGTTAAAAATTCTTAATGTTAGAACTCTGGGAAACAACTCAGTTCATAGCGAATAATATTTTGATGTGGCTTGATGCAACTTCTAGTGAAAAAAAAAAACCAAACCCAAAACCCTTTCTACTGATACTCGTGGGAGATGGATTATGTCCAAAACCTGAAGATGTTGCAATAAAGCAATAAAGTATTTTAGCCCCTAGATCCTGGAATGTTAACCTTGCAGTAATGCTTTTCTTGTCCCTTCATCTTCTTGGGCCTTGATCCTCCTTTTCAATTCAATGAGATTTAGATACTATTTTCCATCAATGAGGAATAGTCCTATGAGAAATACATTTCCTTCTATGCTGGCCCTAGACAGAGTCAAGCTTTTAAAATCCTCTCCTTCCAGAAATGAACCTGGGTCATCACTGCCTGAGGACCCTGAACAGCAATAAAAATAAACAGAGTAACCGCACTGTGTTGGAGCAAAGCTTGTATAAGCAGTTTGAAGAAGTTGTGTTTATGGAAGTTCTTTAGGTCAAGATTCCAGGCCTGAACCCAAAGCAATTACCTACTAAGTTTTACAAACAAATTGAATATAGAGAATTAATCAATAAATCAACAGGTTCTCAAGTGTTTAGGAGGCTTAGCTGTCAGAAATCCTTCTCTTAGAAAAATAGTAAACTGATGCTTGATAAAATGTTATTCTCATGTACTGGTAAGAAAAGAGCTGTATTAAATCAATCTCTAGTTATTAAACCCAAGAAAAAGGAAATAAAACCTACTTCTTAACAGAGTTTATGCTCAAATGAGCAATGAAAAGCATGCGTTTACTCTTACCTGAAAGACATTCTTTCTGCTGGATTTCTCCGAGGTCCACTCAATGCAAGCACCACACAAATCCACACACTCAGGTTTATATCCTGGTTTCTGGAAAAAAAAGAAAAAAAAAAAAAAAAAAAAAAAAAAACCAAAAGCAAAACCCACAACCATGAATATGGCCTGTTTTTTCACAAATGGGGGCAGTTATGAGATAAAACAAGAGTAGATCAACTTCAGATGACATATTATTGCAGCACAGCAGCTGAATTTACTGAAAAACATTCATTATTCCTTGGTATTATTAAATAGACACTCCTGAGGTGTCATACCTCAGAAATAAGGTTCTTACACTAGATACAGAATTTTAAAAATAATTAGATGATTTAAAAAACAGTCTAATGTAACATACAATAAATCAAAACAAAATGCACACATATTGACCAGGTATGCTGGTCAAATGTTTTCTTTACAAAACCTCTTGAACAGGTTTTGAGTTTAAAGGTAAAATTTTGTGGATTTCCAAATGCAAATTTAAATTGATGCAACTGGAAAGGACAGAAACTAAGCAAAATACAAGACATACATCGTATCTGTAAGACAAGCTATCTTATTTAAAAAAAAAAATAAAAAATTATCATTTCTTGCTCCTAAAAAGAAAATGCTTGTGTGACACCCAAAAAGAAGCTTAACGCTAGGGTAGCTCCACACAGTTTGCTACTTCACAATGTCAGTCTGTACACCCCAGAGTGACACAGCTCTGCCTCCCCAGCTTCTCTGGATGGATGCAAATAATTCAAAGAGCAGATTTGTTTGCCTGTATCATTTACATTGCTGGGAGTTGGTGTAAAGCACAATAATCCTCATTTGCCATCTAAGCTTCTTCTCCAGGGATTCTGCCTGTGCAGCAGTTCTGGCAAATCCCATCTAGTTTAGAGTAGTCTTTGTAGATTAAGTTACTGTGCATCCCGGGCAACAATAAAAATACTAGTGTTAACAGGATAAAGCACTAAGAAGTCCCTTTTGGGTAAGATATAGAGTAATATCCACATAATGTAATTAATCAGCTTGATGCATCTTTTTTGCTCTGTTGTTCTTAAGCCAATTTACCTTTAAAAATGGCATTGCTGATGAAGAAAACAGACTTTATAGAAGTTAACAGTGGTCAGTCCAGCGTCAGGCACATAATCAGATTTACAAATATTGCTCACTGAATTACTCTGATGCTGTTGTTAAAGGCTAAAAAATGTGTGTTCTACAGAACACTTTTGAGGTGGGTAGAAAAGAACCTGTTTAGGTTAAAAGAAACAGAGTAAGGTACCCTGGTCAAGCAATTTGCAGCCAGAATCTCTGGCAGTTTTCAGTATTGGAGTTGTGATTATGTCCTCCTTTTGCCAAACCATAAACTCCTTTAAAACTGATGGTCCTGTGTGTCTTCGCTCCTTTTTAATTATTTTTTTTTAATAGAAGAAATATGCTATTCAAAACAGAAGGATGTTCTTGTGCCTAAACCACTGGAAGAGCAGGGGTTACATTTTTTTCCCCAACTGTCTCAGACTACCTGCCTGACTTCCCACAGAAACTTAATCTTTCTGAATTTTTAATAGCATACATACTTGATTTTAAAAAGGTGTTGTGAAATTTAATCAGTTAATATTTGCCTGGCAAAAGAGACAAAGTTGAAAAAAAGTCCCAAACACCAACCTATTTGTACAAACAAATATCCAAAGAGCAGAGTCAGGGAACACATGGATTCTCAATATTCCAATACTTTTATAGAAAGGGTTATGGTGTCTCTTTTGAATAGATCACTCTCCTTGGGCAGGGGTTGTCCCAGTGAAGTTTCATTCCCAGGTCTCTACACAATGGCCAGGGCTGCGCTTCACAGAGCAAGCAGCACTGTAGCTCATCATGAACACACAACACAGCCTTCTCAAAGTGGGTCACCTTGCTTTATTTGAAAAAAAATATCCAAAAGGCTAGTTTGAGTCTGAAAATACTTTAACGAAGAAGGACAGCTTTATTCCACCAGCAGAAAGAGTCGAGAAATTTTGGAAACACTTAACTAGATTAAGAGATTCAAATGTAGACAAAAAAGACCCCAGGAAACAGTTTCTTGATAGTGAAGGATACTGGGCCACAAATTATTTTCCTTGGGAAAACTGCCATGGCATTTCACTGGAGTGAGGAAAAAGAGTGGAAAGCCCAAAGAAATTTTGCAGGAAGATAGAATAGTGAACTCCATAGTACTTTACTATCTCTAGTTTCTACGATTGTACAAAAACTTACACAGCACCAGAACTTGGGCTCCTCTGCGCACTCAGCACACAGTTTAATTTTATTTTTGTAGCAATATGGAGTTTGTTTACAGCTTTGATTTTGTAATAAGCAGAAGAAAAATACCAGTATGTGCATCTCCCTTTCCAGAAAGGGTGGGGTGCAAGCTCAGTCTTAGAAAGATGGACATGCTTTTGCTATGTACAATAATCAACTGGAAAACTTTTTTAGAGAAAAAAGCAATTCTGCCCACGACAGAATACTGGGTGTCTATAAACACCATACGACTCATGAGTATGTCACAGAATATGAAGCTTATGATGAAAACTACATGCAGAACCACCCAAATCCTTCAAGCCTGAAACTGTCCATGGTGCACATCAGCCTTTCTTACTGCACCTAGGGAGTTCCACATAATGGAAGCCCTGCTTAAACACAGAGGGATCCCAGGAAAGCTGCCTAGAAATTGATTCTGGCCTAAACATAGTCCTGTTAGCATGCATTCCAGTTTATGCATTACTGAGGGACACTGCAAGAGAGTAAGTTAAGGTTCCTGGGAAAGCCTGAGCACTCTTCATCCTTGCTTTGGATTTTGTAGTCAGAGCGATTATATCAATGTTGTTGGAGAGGGGTTATGCTGTATATTGTTACAAGTGTCTGCTACAATGAAATCTTCCTAAACACGGATATGGATTTCAGCAGCATTTTAACTCACTAAATTACTTGGGCTAATAACCTGAGGTTAAAATAACCTCTCTTGAATAAACTATCTCAGGGAATAAACAGACTACTTTCTTTTGGTCACAAAGACCAACTGATAACAGAATTTAATGTTGGTAAGAAAGAATGCTGCTGTGATCTGTTTAGATCACAATGTCCTTAATTTACATAAAAAGTTATATTCATATGAATGCTAATAATGTATATAAAAGCATGAGTACAAATGATCAGACAGCAGCAAAAGATAATCATTTAGCTACATGGAAAACAAATTTGCGTTTTGAGTAATATTTGTAAACAATAGTTTTCGGAATCTCTCCTTGGTGTGCTTTACTTGTTGTGCTCTATTATTACTAATAATAATACCAGATATTGTCACTAGCTTCACCAGAAAGCTATGGATCCCAGTCTTCTCCATGCAAATCAATACGAAAGTTGTTATAGTGAGTCCTACATCTACAGTTGTGCAAGGGAACAATGGAAACTCTTTTAGCTAATAGCTAAAAGGTTCTTTGCATTAGAATATTACTTAAGATTTTGGCAAATATAATTTTAAATCACCCCTAAATGTTATCCTATCATCAGAAAAATAGGTATATTAGAATGTGCTTTCATTTCCTACTCTCCTTTTGCCTTTATTGTGAAATATCATTCCTTTATAATGATGATGTCTTATTCTAAATTTTCACTTCATGTACAGTATTTAATATTTAATAATTAATGAACTAGTATTTTTATAATACAAAGGAACATTAATCTTTTTGTTAAGTCACATCATATTCCTGTTTACAATAAAAATGCTTTGTCGTAAGTCATACTACCGTGAATGAACATTGACTCTATTACATTATTTAATTAATGGTTGAGCTCCCCTTTTACCAAAGTAAACTGCAGTTGGAAAGAAAAATAAATAAAAAACAAATCAGTAAACAAATGATTTCTAATGAATCATTTTTGTATTATTTTCTTTCCACTATCAAAATTATATCTGGCTAAATATTTTACAAAGGACATAAGCATTACTTTTACTTTATCAGATGACCAAGATGCTCGTTTAGCTTTTTTTGATGTGTGAAATTATGTGGTTAGGAGACTGGGTTATAAGATTTTGAATACTGACAGCTCTTGTTTTTAAGCTTTACTCAATTTTTTTTATTTATCATTGCATATAAATTATATGCTACAGTCAGAAAATGTAATTTAAATGGCTTTTTTTTCACCTAGTGAACATTGAGTTCACAACCGCAGTGTTCAGATCTAGCACAGAATTAAATAAAAATGACCCACTTCCATATTTTTCCCCATAAAGAGCAAAATATGGGATCAATATGTCTGTGTTCTTCCCAACACAGGAGGTAGTAGATAGTATCTCACCAACTGTGAGCATTGGTGATGACTGGGACTTCAGGGAAAAGGATTGACTTATAACACACCTTAATTTTTTGAGTTAAACAGATCGTGATCTGGGCCAGAGTCACATCCTCCAGGCAGGTTTACTTTAGTATCTAAAGCCTTAAAGGCCTAATGGGGATTTTAACCATGTGGAGGAGTCTCAGAGCAAAATCACATATGTGTGTTGAATTTTACTGGTCCATTTATCTCCTGGGATTTGGGTGAGGGCATAAAGAGAGAAGAGGTAGCACATACAAGTGTAAGACACCTGGTAAATTAGAAGAGGAGTTCTGATAAGTTCGTAATGATTTTTTTTTAAATAACATATGATTAAATTTTAAGGAAAACAGATTATTCTGAAAAAATATTAATTCAAGCTATAATGTTTTAAGGGCTCCAGAAAAATTGTATTTTCTAACTGTACTAGCACAGACACAGTCAGAAAGTGCCAGATGTCACTCTTTCTATTGTTTCAACTATTATTTTAATTTTTACTACAACCCTCACCTTCTTTAAAAAAAAGTAAGATATGAAAAGGTGTTCTTTAAAGCTGATTTTATGGCAGGTGGCATTGGTAGATCAAGAATATCTAGAAGAAAAAATTTATATCACCTACCATAGAAAAAATAGCTTATTGTTTCTGACTCCTGCCAAAGAGAGCACCTTTGTGGCCACCCATCATGCTAATGAGATTTGGCAGGTTTGATCAGTCCTTGAGAACCTTTCACAACAGGGCTTTGTCAAACCTGTCCCTTTGCTGCTCACAGTGTCATGCATTTGCCGAATTCCCCTTTTGTTGCCCACATTCAGGTTCATAGGCTCAAACTCAGCAGTAACTAGCACTGAAGCGATACATGCCATTATTGCTTGCACAACATAGCTGTCACATCTCTGAAGACTAAGATCGGTGGTCTTTCCTTGGGGCACAATAAAAAGGTACTGCAAATTTCACTTTGTAGTAACTACAGGCTACAGAAATTGCATTAGCTGCATTAGATGGAGTCGTAGAAATATTCAGGAAGGTTAGCAGGATATGGTAGATGTCACATTTATACTACTATAAAAAATCACTTTGCTAACTTATAATGTTTTCTGCTTTGGTAACACCCTATATTAAGGTGCCATTTATAAATAATTTATTATTATTTACTAATGTATAAGCCACTTTATGAGATGGTAGATAACAACTTAAATTCATGTATTAAAGATGCACATACATGGTTTAATATAATTTACATCTCACAATATCCTTTGCAACAGATTCTCATCGCATCGTCTGTTAAGCATTTATTACTAATGCATTTTATAACGTACTTTATAATACATTATTTGAGGAAGTAGCTGCATTTAGTGATCATTTTCATAAATAAGAATAAAGCATTTATAAATGGCACCTTAATTTAAAGTGTTACCTTCGCGTTACTGAATAGTCACTCACCATTTGTCTCACTTCACAACTATTCTCAAAATGTACCTCTTAATAAAGGACATGCTAAGTCCTATTTCTTATCATATACTACATCTGATTAAGAGTTTATCAAGGCATTTTCCTTCAGCTGCTCTCAAACCTTTGAAGGCTGCCAGCTCAGTCTGAATTTGTCTTATGTAAACACCAACCAATTTATACTGAAATAATAGTTGCAAGGAAGCTGAGTATATCAGATGGTTGATTGCCTACCAGGTTGGCCAGCGCCGGCTGCTTGGATTCTTTGTAGAATTCCATTTTCCGAGCAGTGAGAACAACCCAGGATGTGGACCAGTTTTTCCTTAAAAATAAAATTAAATTAAAAAAAGAAAAAAATAGTAAGACATGTAAGCAGGAGGTAGACACTCCATTTGTAGGCTTAGTTTTTAATTATTTAATGTCAGAAACAAAAATAGTCTAAAGTCAATATCAACAATGCACTTCAACCAATATTGATGGAGTTGCACCATCTTAGATAAACTTAGATGTGGCCTAGCAAAGCTTGAAAATATTTTTGTTCATTCATGTTTTGAAGCCTATCTGTGTTCCTTTTCCAATATGGTACCTTAACTGTAGGATAATGGTGAGATTATTCACACATGTTTAAATTTCATATATCCTTGGAGGACTCCAAAATAGCTAATACTTAAAATAGAAGTAGGAATAAAAAAATGTAATTTTGATCTGACTGTACAGAACTGTCCTGGGTTCAGCTGTAACAGTTATTTTTTTCTCTTTCCTAGTAGCTGTGTTTTTGACTTTAGTCTGAGAACAATGCTAATACACCAATGTTTTTAGTTGTTGCTAAGTAATGCTTACCCTGATCAAGGACTTTTTAGTCATGCTCTGCCAGTGATGAGGGGTATGGGAAGCCGGGAGGAAGCAGAGACAGGACACCTGACCCAAACTAGCCAAAGGGGTATTCCATACCACAGCACATCATGCCCAGTATATAAACTAGGAGGGAGTTAGCTGGAAAGCCCACGACAAAAGCTCAGAAAAAAATTTATTTAGAAAGGTCCCAAATACTTTCCCCTTTCCATAAATTAAAAATCTGTAGGAAAGCAAGGAAGATAAGAATGGTATCTGGGAGAGGTTTAAGTAACCGTTAAACATCAAGACCTCATGGTACGGCCCTAGAGAGCTGGCAAACTGCTGGGGCCTGGGAAAAGTCGAAATACACATAGATACATGAAACACTGTACCTGATGCAGAAGACCATAATAATCTACTCAGAAGAAAATGCTATTATATATATGTCATATAATGTGATGTTTCAAGCCACCACATAATCATAAACGAATGGATCTGATAGAAAAATATTTTTTGATCATTATCTCATTTGACTTTCCTATTTGGAGTTTATAACATCCAATATTTACAAAGATACTTATAAAGCCACTATTTGCTTTCCATGAATGCAAATCACAAAACTGAACATTTTAGAACAATCCTGAAAAAACATGTTACAAACCGGCTGTTTCACATCTATGTTGTGGTGTGTTAAGTGTAGGAAGCTGCCTGTAAGGACACGGAGAGCCCCGGGAGTTGCTTTTAGCAACCCTTTTTCTCTCTCTCCCTCTTCTGTCTTCCCTGGTCTCTTTGAATTTTCTCTATTTAGGTATTCCTAAGTAACTCAAACACACCATTTTTTTTTATTCTAGCAAAACTTGGCCATATTGAGTATAAAAGTCTATTGGTCACCTTTGTGATGCTCACTTCCAGGTCCATCTAACAGCTTTGCTGCACTCAATATTGCATCAAACTGTGCATCAGGTAGATAGATAGTTTTTTTCTATTAATGACTTTCCTGTTCAGTGTTTCATTTATCAGCTTAAATAGTATAACCAATATTACATATGAAGTCCTAACACCACTGGCATTACCAGAGGAACTTTCACTCTCTTCACTGTGGGCAAGATTTCAGCCAGCGTCCCTAAAATATGTCCAACAAGAGGCAACAGTGAAAGAAATTCTCCATGAAGGAGATTAATATACGTGAAGAAAATAAGACTGCATTTTTTATGCCATGTTAATGGGGAAAAAATAAAGAGAGAAACATTGAGAAAAAGAAAGAAACAGAAAGAGTAGGGTTTTAGAAAAGTACCTGACCATCACCGACAAATATTTCCCCACAAAAGAACAGTGTCTGTAAGTCACTTTGAAATTTTCTAAATTTATAACCGCTATAAAGCTGTATCCTTAGCGAAACATAAACTAGGTTCATAGCTGTATATTTGTGTATATTGGAATAAAGAAAAGTTCAACCTCGGTTATTTTTTTAAAGTATCCTTAGGAAACAATTCCTGTAGCTAGGAATCACCATTAAGGTAGAGAATACAAGTTGTCTATTGGTAAACGCAACTTCAGTTGTTTTTCATTTTCTCTATTTTTTTTTTCCTACTCAAAAATGGTCATGTAATTTCACAGGGGAGTAAGTGGCCAAGCATGCTATATACAGGTTCAATTCAATTTTACTATGAGTTAGATAACCTGAATAAGTATGGATTACCAAAGGATTAAAACCCTTGGCACACAACCTAGATTCAGTATCCAACTTATACCAAATGTTTGACCTTAGCTATGGAGAGGAACATTTCTGTGTCATGGACACTTCTACTAGGCAGAGTACTCCTTGCTCGAGCTACTGGTGTGGCAGATTTTTCTAGCTGAGAAATTCAAACCAATAAATCTATTTTGAGCTCCCAGACTCATGTGCAATCTTCTTTAAAGATTCAAATTCTTCATCAAACTAACTGGGAAGTTTGCCAAGATTTTGAAATGTTTCATTCCAACCTGGAGCTCATTTAAAAAATAAATAAATAAATAAATCAAATCCAAAATCACAATAAAATGTATTTCTATTTATTGTTTTGAAATAAGAAGCCAGCAACAAAAAATAAGAACTCGATAAGCATTTTTTTTTTAATTTTTCCAGGTGAGATATTTTGCCTAAGTATCATTCTGAGTTTTAAGGGGAGAATGTTTTAATTACATCAGGAATAAGAAAATTTAGTGGTTCTGCAAGACACTATAAGAATTATAAAAGCTAGGAGAATGCAACTGAATTTCACCATAGTATCTGCAAGAAGACTTTTTCCCCTGAATGTTAGTCCCCCAATTCTTTTATTTTATAGTTTTTTCATATTACAACTGACATCTTAAAATCAAAACCTCTTTACTTTTATCACCTAAAGAGAAATAGTGTATAACCTAGACAACCTTTTTATCAGATTGTTCATAACATCATCTTTAGATTAAAAAAAAAAAAAGTAGGGGCAAAAAAAAGGGACGGAGGGAAGACAAAAAGAAAAGGCGGGGGGTAAGGCACTTTAAAATGTATTAGTTTCTATACAGATCATAGAATGGTTTGTGTTGGAAGTGACCTTCAAGATCATCTAGTTCCAACCCCCCTGCCACAGGCAGGGGCACTTTCCGTTAGACCAGGTTGCTCAAAGTTCTGTTCAGCCTGGCCTTGAACACTGCCAGAGATGGGGCATCCACAGCTTCTCTGACCAGCCTGTACCAGTGCCTCACCACCCTCGCAGTAAAGATCTTCTTCCTTATATCTAATCCAAATCTACCCTTTTTCAGTACAAAGCCATTCCCCTTGTCCTGTCAGTACATGCACTTGTAAAACACCCCTCTCCAGCTTTCTTATCCTTCCCTTTATGTACAGGGAGGCTGCTCTAAAGTCTCCCTGGAGCCAGAACAACCCCAGCTCTCTCAGTCTGTCTCCATAGGAGAGGTGCTCCAGCCCTCTGATCATGTATATTTCATGAGATGCATGCAGTTACCTAAGGTTTTCAAGCTCTTCAGAAAAGCCAGTTCACAATATTCTAAGTTTTGCCATGTGTCACCAAGATTATTCAGGATGTGACTTCCAGACGCTAAAGAGTATAGGTAAGTGAAAGGAGTCAAAGTGTGCGCAGAGTAGATGAACCCCCACTACTCATCCTCTCTCTGTATAAAAAGCCATAAATATCAGTATACAGAAAAGATTCAGTTAGAGTTAACAAGGAGATTGTGTGAATTCACCTGTAGCTACACGGTTAAGGTTGTTGTGGAAAATCACTGCTGGAGAGCCCCAGCCAGGTGCAACCCGACTCGGGGGCTGCATAAGGAGCCCCGAGAGCTGCGGCTCTATTTGCATTCTGCCAAACGAACACCTGATGGCAGCACGTTATAGCTTCAGTGGTGCTCACGATCTCTGAGGCTATTTTAAAAATATGAGAATGTTCAGGCCTATTTAAAAGCACGAGATTGCTTAGAGCTATTTAAAAATACAAGTGGATGAGTGCTGCCTCCTCCCTGTGCCCAGCCCAAGCCGGTGAGCAATACCGAGCCACGAAGATGCTCTGTGATGGGTGCAGTGATGCACTGGAAAGGTAAAACTCCCTCATCATCTGGGCGCAGGTGATGCCCGGCTTATATATACCCTGTAGAAGCTTCTGCCAGTGTCCAAAGTTGGCAAAAGAGTATTACTGCCTTCAGTGCCTTTTCCAAAAATGTAAGCTACACCACTTTCTGATAGCACCCAGCTGAAGCAGGCTTGTCCAAGTGTTCACAATGTTCTTGCTTCAAGTGAGAGGCTGGATGAGGTGATCTCCAGGATCCCTTTTCAATGGGCATTTTGGGATCCTTATGGTTTAGAACTACGTAGGTATGATAAATTATTACTTGGCTCCTTTGTCTATGCAAAAATATATTTCACATTACTCTCTCATTCTCATTGGTAACACACAGTGCTGGTCACGTCGTTACTAATCTCTTACTCCTTTAAATAAAGCAAACTGTAGCAAATCCTTCCATAAGAGACAGCATTAATACTCAAATTACTTTCAACACAGTGTTAGTAAGTGCTGACCACTTTTGATAACCTTGTCTTATCATCACCACAAGAAGGGTTCCTACTTCCCATCTTTGACCTCTCAAGCACACACCTTGCACTTAAAATTTGCCCACTGGAAAATATATTGTTGGTTTGCCTGGGGCCTTAAGGTTGTCCTTAATATGCGTATAATGTATAGAATATAGAGCTTAACACACACATGATCATTGCATCCAGTGAGTCAGTTAGCTGCTTTCATTTGGTTTCTGGGACTGTTATCATACATTGGTGTAATACTGAAACACTGGCAATTTGTCTGCTAGCAGCAATAGTAGCTATATATACTTAAACATGAATCACCTCTGAATTTTGCAACTAATAAATTCTGTAACATTCACATATAATACCTTAATTTCTTGCCACCATCTGCTATTTTAGCTTTTAGAAGATATCCTTCTTTCTCCACTACCTACAAGAAAGAAAAAACATGTTATAACCATATAATTTATTCAGATTAATGAATTCACTTAGTACACACATAAGACTCTGCATCTAGCTAATCTAGAGTTGTAGGCATCTTATCGCTAATTCTGTTTAGTCACATTTTTTTTTCCCAGTACAGTCAGTTCTTTTGAAAATTCTCAAACAACATTCAAAGTCAATAACTACACAAAATAAACAGCAAATAAAACCCACAAAAAAATTGCATTAATTGGTTTAGAAGAAATTTATTTTTATGCAAGAAAAGTTTCTAGCTATAAGTAAAAATTAGTTGAAAAAATATTTCAAGTAAATTATGTCAATATGTGATTTCATTTATTGAGTTGCATTAATAGTTATGAGGAACACACCAGACTTCTGTAGAAGCCTCTTGCTTCTTATATTCTAAAGATACTCATGTTTAGAGGTGTTTAAGGGTAACCAATGTCAGAGAAACATCAGATATCTGTACAACAAGAAAAGTTACATTACCTTCACAGGTGCCACATTTTGCTTTGAGACAACACTAAATCAGGGCTCATGCTAAAAGGCATCATGCTTTTAAGTCATGCTGTCTTTCAGATGAACTCTGATATTGAGGTGCTCACCCCTCAACCCTTGAAAAGTTATACTTCATTGGAGTGTGTGCATCCAAGAGTTGGGAGAACTTGTCTTCAAATTTCCAGCTGAACTAAATGGTCTCACAGTACGGTGCAGAAAAACAAACTAAGCAGTTCTGTTAATCCTTGACATACAAGCTGAAAGGGGAATTATTACAAAGGAAAACAGCTGTGTTGCACATTTTCCAAAATACACCAAAAAAGGCAAAGACTTTAGCTATTACCTATATAAAGCAGGATGTGATATTAGCAACCTGATAGACCTTTGAAGATCCCATATGCTGTGACTGATATTACTGAAATCTGGTCCCTGTTCTATGGTGTCAGAACAGGCTAAGGACTCTGCCAGTATGCACAGGGCTGCAATACTTGGTTGTAGGGTACCAATTTTATGCTTGAGTTTTGACATATCAGAAGCAAGTCCTAGGCTTGTTTACATTTCCTCCACATTTCTGACCATTTTCCTTAAGCTAGAGGTCCTTGCAGATCAGTGATGAGTGATGTTTCTCAGGGTTGGTATTGGGATCAATGCCATTTAACATCTTTGTCAGCGACATGGACAGTGGGATTGAGTGCAACCTCAGCAAGTTTGCTGATGACACCAAGCTGTGTGGTGCAGTTGACACACTGGAGGGAAGGGATGCCATCCAGAGGCACCTTGACATGATTGAGAAGCAAACCTTCAAGGAGTTCAAGAAGGCCAAGTGCAAGGCCCTGCACCTGTGTTGGGGCAATCCCAAGCACAAATGGAGGCTGAATGGAGAATGGATGGAAAGCAGCCCTGAAGAGGACTTCATATTTCTTGGTCGATGAGAAGCTCAACATATCCCAGCAGTGTGCACTGTCAGCCCAGAAAGCCAACTGTTTGCTGGGACACATCAAAAGAAACATGGCCAGCAGGTCGAAGAAGTGATTTTGCCCCTCTGCTCTCATGAGACCCCAGTTGGAGTATAGCATTCAGCTGTAGGGCCACCAACATAAAAAGGATGTGGACCTCTTGAAGCCAGTCCAGTGGAGGGCCATAAAGATGCTCCAAGGGCTGGAGCAGCTCTCCGATGGAGACAGGCTGAAAGAGCTGGGGTTGCACGGCCTGGAGAAGAGAGGGCTCCAGGGAGACTTTAGAGCAGCCTCCCTGTACATAAAGGGAAGGATAAGAAAGCTGGAGAGGGGTGTTTTACAAGTGCATGTACTGACAGGACAAGGGGAATGGCTTTGTACTGAAAAAGGGTAGATTTGGATTAGATATAAGGAAGAGGTTCTTTACTGCAAGGGTGGTGAGGCATCAGCACAGGCTGGTCAGAGAAGCTGTGGATGCCCCATCTCTGGCAGTGTTCAAGTCCAGGTTGGACAGGGCTTTGAGCAACCTTGTCTAGTGGAAGGTGACACAATTTAACATGCTTTAACAGGTAACATAAGGATTTTTAAATTAAGTATATCTGTTATTTTGACTATTAAAATATATTAACAGTGTATATGTTTAATTATTTCCTTAGATTTTTTTTTTCTGTTGCTAGTATACAGCATATAATGAAATACATACTGCATAATTATCTGTTTGTATCTATGAAAAGGTCTATAGGTTGGTGGACAATGATTTAAGTAACATTCTTGAACAGCTACATGAGGATTAACGTGTGCATTATAGAAAATTTGTACTTATCTCATGCAAATTCCTGTCATGCAGATCATTGCCATAGAAAAAGCAGAGAGAAAGTGTGTAGAGATTATTGTGCAGAGTCATGTCACTATTTATCTAGTAATGGATGAACAAATTATCAGAGCTAAAATAAGACTTAATCCCCGCCTCCACCGCTTTTTTTTTTTTTCTCAAATTTACTTTACATCTTTTGATATTTTCCTTCCCTTTCTACCCCTTCATTTTTGCAGCATAAAACTTGGGGCATGGCCAGTGCCAGAGAGGTTAAATAAATAAGAAAGATTGCTATTCATAATATTTCTTTCCATCTGGAAACAGAAACTGGGAGGAGCATTGACTAACCATTCAGAGAAGCTATTGATTGCTTCTCTGAATCAGACCCAAAATCTCATGCTTTCAAAGTTTACGAACCACCCTTCCCACACTGTTATTTTAACCAATCCAAAACTAAAGGCGAATATGATTTTTCACATCCAATCTGAATCACCTGTTCTCATCTTTTGGGAAGTTTTAACTTAGATGTGATTGCAGATGAAAAGGTTGCAGTTCAGTCATATTTTCCCAATAATTGTGTTGAGCTGAGTTATTGAATCCACTATCAAATGCTGGGCATATAAAATATTCTGATTAAAACTACATAGCTCAAATTCACCATTTGTTATAATGAACATATAAATAGTTCAAAATTGAACAACAAAAAAATACAAGATCTTCAGTTAATGAGACCTCTCAGTGCTACCCAATTTAACTTTCATACATATATTGCTTTAACTGAATAACCACAGACACTGTCTTTAAAAAAATAGCACGGTCTTCATTAATTGATAATGCACACAGTTTTTTCTGTAATTAGTGTAAAGGGCATTTATAGAATTACAGAATAACTTTACTACAAAGACAAGTAAAAAGATTTCTAGTACGATCCCAGTATCTGTGTAAACTCTGGGGTGCTATATTCCCATCACTTAACAACTGCTAATATCCCCTTTTCTGTTCTACTTGTTTTCAAGAAAATACTTCCAAGACCACTAAGAATCAATTTACAATACTTATGCAAATGAATGTTATTAAATTAAAAAATAATACCAGATATATCTTAATGTTAATGCTTTGTTGTTTCTGTCGCCATGAATATCATCATTTGTTGTTAAGCTACTGCCCTTCCTGCAGCTATTCAACATTTGGAAGGTTGAGAAAATGACCCAAAATGCCCTGAAGAGTTAGCATAGAAATAAGAAAATTGAATTATTGTGTGGAGTTTTGTGGTGGTTGTTTTGTTTTTTTTTTATTTTTGAGTTTTTGTAATTTGGGGTGGTGGTTTGTTTTGTTTGTTTTTTTTTTTCTTTTGCTGCTTTTTTGGTTTTATTTGATTTTAGAAAAATATTAAAGATGAGAGTATGCATATGTAAATATTTGAGTTTCTAAATTATATTTTTTTTAAAAAGGCTTTCGTAGGTTAACAGTATTAAAAACTACAAGGAAAAGTAATTATCACTATATCACATATAAGTTCTATAATTTCCTTGGTTACAAGAATTCAAAGCTTCTGAACCTGCCTAATCCTGAAAAGTTTGTGTGGGGAACAGTACCACTGATAGCAACATTTCTTTGATGAATCTGTATTTGCATATTCATTTGCTTTTAGTAGAAATATCTCCATGCTTCTCATTCCCCCTAGATTCTTTTAATGTCAAGGAAAATTTTATTACAGTTTTTGATCACTTATAAAAATTGACATTAATATTAGAAATACCTTAATATGAGCAAAGACAGGACAAAAACATGGTTGTATTCCTTTATACCAGGTATTAATAGTGATGAAACATCAGTCAGGCACAACCGGCTTAACAGCAAAGTCAAGCTATACGAATTGCTTTGTACCTTCTGAAATTATTCTTTTTAGTGATTAATCAAGTCCCTCAAATCCCTTAACATCTTAAGGCATCCAAAGCCTGATGTATTTATTCTTTAGTAAAGCATGTGTAACATTTAAATTACAAACATTTAAAATAACAAGAGTCATTTATCAGTTCTATAGAGCAATTGCTTACTGTGTGGTCCTGTGTACTAATGATGTCTGCAAGTGTTAAGTTATGCTGGGAATGATTTCTTCTATGACGACTTACCTAAAAAAAAAATTTAAAAAAATGGTGTAAATTCAAAGAGATTCAAACACATACAGGTAAAAATGGAACAAAAAATCTAATTACTGGGCATGCACAGCATGCACTGGATGGAGTTTTTGGAAACCTGGTTACTTTTAGTACCACATTTCTGTGAAAATTGGTGTTTCTTGAGCCATGTGTATATGAAATGTACAGCAACTAAACACTAAACATCTCTGGTATAAATGTGTTTCATTGTGATGTCACATTGGCAACTTTACTAAAAGTTAATCAACCGATAACATTAATTTTAAATTATGACTTTTCCGTCGGGATTCTCAAAAATTGTTTAACTAGTTAGGCTCCATTTTACAGGGGTTGAAAAGATGCTAATTATAACCTCAAGGCCACGAACCAAGTCAATGAAGAAACTAGCATATAATTGGGAATAATCATATAATATATCCAGTATGTTTAAACTGCTTTAAAGGCTATTTCTAAAATCTCCATGACTGTAGCAATACTGGACTCTGATTCTACAACTGTTCCTAAGTACGAATTCCTGATCTCCTCCGGCTGCCTCTTTTGTAGGAGGAAGCCAATACAAACAAATTTTGCTGTTTAAATTCAATGTCAGTCAATAATAAAATAATAATATAATTTGGAGTTGGGATCCTGTAAAATTCAGTGATTATTTCCTCTTTTAAGTGAAGCCAAAAAGCAAACAACAAAATACAGTCTCAACTAGTTTCCACTGTATTCATCATAATGCACTCTCTTTTTCCCTATTAAAACAGAGTTAACCAAAAGTAATAGTGTATTCTGTTTATATTCAAGTGTCTGAATGTAGAAAATGTTCTTAATTAATCCAGAAGGCCAAACTCAAAAAACAGTTAAACATATTATGATCCCATATTTTTTCTCCACACATTGCTTTCATGTTTATTTGTAAGTACTAACATTTTTAAGCCTTGAAATCTATATCCTAGCTATTGCTCTACTCTCCTAGTCAGAGATAATGAGCTTAATGAACTACCAGTTCTAAATCTAATACAAACATTTCAAAGAAAGAGATAAAACATTCTTCACAATACAAAAGTTTCTCTGACCTATTTATGAAGAATATCACTTAACAGTTTCATTAAGGGTGAGTAACAGCTGGTGACATGGCTGTGTCCTAAAGTGTTTTTCTCTCTTAATATTCTGCATCTTAAGCAATCGAGCTTTCATAAGAAATACTTTAGTTAGTGGCAGTACCTCCTTTGGGGAGAAAAAAAATGTCAGACCACATTTTCTGTATTTTGCAATCTTGTTTTCAAGAGTGTCATGCTCCTGTTTTATTAACATGTAGGGTAAACAAGAATGATCTGCTGATGCTATTGAGACAACTTCTAAGATTACAGTCTTTCTGTTTAGATTTTGAATGGAACTTAATATTAATGCAGGCAGAGACATGTATATAAATTCAAAAGAAATTAATTCCATTTATCTTTATCTTTACTGTTCAACAACTCTGATGTTTCTATAATGTTCAAGACATACAACCAACTATTCAGGTCTAGATCACAGGAATTTTTTCTTACCCAGATCCCCCATTCTAATTATTCCTTAACATACAACAGAGCATATTGCCCAGTGATGCTTTCTAAAATGTGTTTTCACTCATCCAAATTAAATAAAAGACACCACCACTCCATAGTACCTATTTTAACATTCAGTTGCTCTCACCAGGAATCGTAAGTGTCTGTTGGGAGCCCCATATTCAACTTTTTGAAGTGTACCGCACTTATGAGAGCTTTTGGGCTGGTCTTTGGTTCAGCAATCAGAGCATTAGCAAAGGAAACGCTCACATTTGATACATGCTGAAAAGAATCCTTCAGAAGCATTAAATCCATCCACTACCAAATGAAGAAAGGAAATAGTAAAAAGTATTATTTTTATAGCACTAGCAAATTATTAGTGGTGTGATAAAAAGGCAATAGCAAGATTTCCAGGAAATATGAAAGGAGAAAAAAAATTTCCAGTTATAGATGATATTATGTGGTTTAAAAACCTCTTTGCTGTACACAAAGCAGAAACAAGGAAAACTGCATGCCTACAGGGAGAAATTTAATATGATACTTTTGCTAAAAAGGTAAGTGGGTTTTTTAGTGCAAAAATAAAAGAAATTACTTTACTTTGTAGCCCAACAATGACCAGTTTCACACAGGAAAGTACTAAAGCTCCAAAGTCTGAATCTAGCTACACAAATACAACCAAATTCCACAGCTATGTAAGCCGAGATCAAGCTTTTCTAGAAAAACACCCCAAATATTTGGCTTACAAATGGAACTAATGGAAACTTTAATAAATTTCTTACTCATTTTCACCAGCCTTTTGGTTTAGTAATAGAACTTAAAAAAAAAAATTAATCAAAATTGCTAAAAAAAAATCTAGTAACAACAGAGGCAATATATTCTTTAAGACTGATTTTATAAAATTTCAGCAGGTCTTATACAAATTTGATCTTAAATGTATTTTGCAAATATTGCTGAAGACATTAGTTATATCACTTCCTTCATGATATATTCAGTTCAAAGTTAAAATGTTCTTAGCAGAACCTGGGTGACAGTAGTAAATATACTCATTTTTCAATATACTTACAATTTTCAGTGGTGTGCCAAAATATTCAAAGGGAAGTGTAGGCTCAATTATTTTCATTCTTTCATTGAGTTTTTAATAGATAAACCATAAAGGAGGTGTTTTGAGATTTTTTTCCTCTATAGCTTTATTCAATTGTCCTAATAAGCTAAAGGAAAACCTAAATAGTATCTGTCACAAGTCCTCTACCTCACCTCCCAGCGTATGGTGAAAGGCAGAGATTTACAGGATAAGTTTGTGAGATCCCTTTTTGGGAAAGGCAGTTTATCAGCAGTTTTCTGATTTGATGAACATTCTTCAGTCAGCAACAATGTCACCTGCAGCATTAAAAATCCACTCTGCAAGCGCTTGCAAGTCTGTGGGCAAGTCTGGTTTTGTTAAATTCAGCCTCAGCAGCCCCCCTTTCCCTTAGCTAAAGGGTATCCATCTCCTACCGGAGTTATTTCAGTATCTAAGCACTAATCCGTCATCATCCTTTCTACAAAGGCAAAGCCTCCAATACATATGCCTGGTATCCTGGCGAGAAGGGACAACCATCTGACAACTGCTGCTTTAACATTGAAGGAAAGTACAATAACCTGATGTTTAATTTCATTTATTTATTTAAATTCTCCCTCTTTTTGTGGGAATTCATCACCACTAACTCATTGCTACTCTCTTCGAACAGCATAGCATTGATTTAAAAAGAGACTTGGAAGACTTATTTGGATTTTATTTCCCATTACAAGCATATTTCTGACCTAATTCATCTAGTCAATGAGAAGCAGCATACTTCTTTTTGATTTCAACCAAACCTAACAAAACCAACTAGCATTTCTCAAAAGGCTCAGACAGGTTGCTCTAGTGCAAAGCACAGATAATTAATTATTTCCTGAAACATCATTCTGAATTCACTTGTATCTCTAAATAACTAAGATAACTGTAAGAACTTTCTAGGTGGTTTCCAAGATTATAAAATGAATTATTCAC